AGATCGGGAGCAAGAAGAGCAAGGAGGCTGAAGATTTCAGGGGGATGTTTCCTGCCCAAGCATGAGCTTCACAAGCTCAAATTCAGTTCCTAAGTATGCCGAGCTCTCATGTGCGAACAAGTGAAATTTTTGTCGCAAAAATCACTCGAAAGGCAGGAAATTAAGAGACTGGAATTGTGGAAGGGTATTCACCCTTCGAGGTTTTAAATTCCGCTTTCACATACCGGTGCGTGAAATTTTTAGTGGGAAATTCCGCAAATTAGGAAACAGACAACATTTCAACCATTTTTGCATAGACAAAAGTGCAAAGCAATGGAAATCATTAGCAAGCAGTCATTCGGTGGACGGAATTGCACAAAACGCATGATCGCACCCGCTGCTCTGGTGCGCACCGCTATTTATTTTTGGCGAAGCTTGATTTAAAAAAAAAGCCTTGCTCAGAATTCTTTAATCTTTGAGGACTAGGATTGTCAGAAGATCACTTGAATGGGAAAAAAGTTATGCAGCTTACAAACAATTGATATTCTGTCTTCGGGTCATGCGTTTTTTCTTCTTCAAAAGGGGCGGCCTAAGTACTTTTGTTGTAACAGATTGCTTTTCTTTCGCCGCAGTAGATTTTGAGTCATAATCTCTTTATTTAAAACGTTTTAAAGTAGAATTTACTATTATAATCCAACTCAACATGATCTTTTTACTTGTGTAATTTCCACTAAAGGTTTTTGCAGTCGTTGGGCTACCCTCGCCCGTCTGCGTTCCATTTCTTTGCCAGCCTGTGCAGCTAGAGGACCTTTTTCACCAAAAAATCGTAGCTGCACTTGATCAACAAATTTCTAGCACATTTATATGCGCAGCTTGCTTTGTTGAGCTGGCTGTAATAGGCATCTCGTGAAAATTTTTAAATTCAACAACTGTACCTTAATTAAAGATTGGGTTACTTTTCTGCAATAGAATTTGGCACCTGACAGGTACCGATGCATATTTAAGAAGCGTGTCTTCCAGAGCAAACATACTTCTAACAGAATACGATAACTTAATCGTTTAAGTTCTTTTTTATCCAGATAATTTTGCTGGATCCGGCCACACGTGCATATTCCTGGTACCAGCATATGCGCGCACACAACGATACAACAGCAGTGAATTATAGGCTGGAAGAAATCTTGGATGCAAATGTCTCGTCGATAGCATTGCGTCGTCTTAGAAACCGCTGTATTTCACCAGGAAGGTATGCTTTCTGCGACGGTTTATAGAGCTATCCAAAAGAGCTTAGAATGATGAGGACTTTCAAGACTGATTTTCGTAGCTTGTAGCAAAAGGTACCTGCGTTATCGTTCATGAAAATGATGACTAGTCGCAGCTAGATCGGCTGTTCATGAAAAAGTCGCGAGCATTTCTGCAGTGCTACTATGCTCTTATAGTTGGGCTTTGGATTGTCATCTGCCTGAAGTGGAGACAGAACTATGCATTGTACGAATTGCTTCAGTACTGATGTCGCTAGTTGTAGGGAGTGGGAGCAAATAGGGGGAAAAAAATC